TCCAGTCATCTGGAACCTCACCAGTGAGCCGGGACTGTTGGTAAATGATAGAGAGCAGCTTCACAAGCTCATCTGCCTGCTCTCTCATCACCCTGGGATGGATCCCACCTGGACCCATGGATTTATGAACATCCAAGCAGCTCAGTTCTCTGACTGCCTCCTGGGAAAATGGGGGGACCATTCTGCTCCCTAGTATCATCAAGCAACCCAAGAGGACGGTTGTCCTGAAGGCAAGCCTTCCCACTAAAAACTGAGGCAAAGAAGGTGTTAAGCACCTCTGCCTTCTCCTCATCTGCAGTTACTAAGTTCCTTTCTGCATTTAATAAACAACAAAGGTTGATCTTACTCTTCCTTTTACCATTAATATATTTACAAAAGTATTTTTTATTAATCTTTACAAAAGTCGCCATTTTAAGTTCAAACTGAGCTTTGGCCTCTCTAATTTTTTCCTACATGCTCTAGCAGCCCCCTTAAATACTTCCTGAGAGATCTGACTCTCCTTCCAAAGATAATACATCCTTTTTTTTATTCCTAACTTCCTCCAAAATCTTCTTGCCCATCCAGGCTGGACATTTACCCCATTGACTGATCTTTTGGCACCCAGGGACAGTCTGTTCCTGTGCCCTCAAGATCTCTGTTTTGAAGCTCACCTACACTTCCTGAACTCCTTTGTTTTTAAGGGCTGCTTCCCAAGGAATTCTCTGAATAAGTGTCCTGAGCAGGCCAAAGTCTGCCCTCCAGAAGTCACCTGTGAAAGTCTTATTAATGTTCCTCTTGATTTAACCAAATATAGAGAATTTTAGAATTTTATTATCACTGTGCCCTGAGTGACTTCCAACTACCACATCTCCCACCAGTCCATCTCTATTTGCAAATAACAGATTTAACATTGTCACTCCCCTGGTGGGTTCACCTACCAGCTGTGACAAAAAATTGTCCTCTGCAAACTCTAAAAAATTTCCTGGACTGCCTTTTTACAGCTGTATTGAGTTCCCAAAAAATGTCCGGCAGGTTGAAATCGCCAGCAAGAAAAATGTCTGATGATCCAGAAACATTCTCTAGCTAATTACAGAATGAATTGCCCACCACTTCTTCCTGGTTGGGTGGACAATAACAGACTCCCAGTAGGATGTCAGCCTTGTTGGCCTTCCCCTTAATTCTTACCCGTAGGCATTCATCTTCATAACTTTCAATACCCATGGTATCAAAAGCCTCCCTAATATAAAGGGCCACCCCTCCACCTCTTCTCCCTTTCCTGTCTCTCCTGAAGAACTTGTAGCCATCCAGTGCAGCACTCCGGCCATGTGAGTCATGCTACCACATTTCTGTGGTGGCAATTACATCATAGCTTTGCTGCTTTACCATGGCCTCGAGCTCTTGTTTGTAACCTGTGCTGCGTGTATTGGTATACCTGCAACTCAGCTGGGCTGCAGATTTCACTCCTGTCTCAGGCTTACCACCCTTGGGCCTGCTTCCAGACAGCCCAGATGCATCCCCTTTCCCCTTCAGACCTAGTTCGATGTCCTTTCAACAAGTTCTGCCAGTTCATGAGCTAAAAACCTTCTGTCCTTAACAGAAAGATGGAGCCCATCTGGTTCCAGTAGAGCAGGTGCTGTAAAAGTTGCCCCATGATCAAAGAACCCAAATTCTGCTGATGACACCAATCTTTGAGACACTTGTTGATAATGCGAGCTCTCCTATTCCTTTCACTGTACCCCTGTCCTATCAACCACTTGTCCCAGTGCCCTAAAGTCCCTTTTAATTGTCCTGACACTCCTCTTTTCAATCTCATCACTGGCAGCCTGGAATATCTGCAGTGGATAATAATCAAAGGGCTGAATCAGCCCAGGAAGTCTCTCAGTGATATCCCAGGCCCCAGGGAGGCAGCAGACCTCTCTGTGGGGTGGGTCCTGTTGACATTTGGGGCCCTGTGTTCCCCTTAGAAGGGAGCCACCCACTACAATGACCCTTTTTTTCTTCCTGATGCCAGAGGTGGTAATCCTTCTCACAGATGAGTGGGAGGCTCACTGGGCAGATAATTTTCTTCTAAATCATCTGGCTGACTTTCTAGATCCAGGGGTTCATACCTATTCTGAAGTGGCATCTGGCTTGGGGATGAGGGTCGGGAGGAATTTTTATTATTACCTCCTCAAGTAGGTACCCATTTCCACTCCACTTACCAGGTGTCCTTCTATTGTCTGACAGTGAGAGGCATGGGAGTCCTCTGACTCTTGGTGGGCTTCCCTCAAGGATGGAAGGGCAAATCCACCAATCTATTCCCCTTTCACTATCCCTGATACTCCTTAGTCTTTAAACTTCCTCTCTAAGCTCAGCCACCAGTGAAAGGAGATTGTTCACCTGTTCACACTGCAGGCAGGTTTCCTGCACAACTGCCCCTGAAACTGCTGCTAAGATCAAACACTCTGCACAAGAATGGGTCTGGACAGATGTAACCTTTTTGGAGGGTTCCATTTGACTATGTACACTTGTACTAACTACAGTTTTCAATTGCATAGAAATCATTACTAATACAAACCCCAAAACCCACCAACCAACAGAAACACTGCAAACAACACACAGCAAACCTTACTGGCAAGAAAAGTTGCAACTCTGCCTGCACAAAGTGTTATGCAAACTGCTGTGCCACACCCTCAGAGAATAAAAAATTATAGTAGTAATTTCAATCCCTGTGTTAGGTTTCACCATCCTCTTTCTCTTCTGAGAAAAGTCTTACAGCTTTGCTGTTAGCTCCAGTTTTACTACTTCATGATGTTTGCAATCAAATATTGTTGTATTTGCCTGCAGAAGCTGTGCAGCATGGAAGGAGATGCTGGCTAGGAAGCCACATCCAAGGGACTACAATTGCTTGACAGGCCGACTTACCAGCAGGAGCAGAAACAGGAGTACGAGGTCTTCCAGCTGCTTGGGGTGAAATGCGATGCTGAAAGGCGTCTGTTCAGAGAAAGTAAATTGACTTCAGAGAAGAAATTTTAAAAGGCAAGGAAATGCTGAATTGGTTATGGTTGAAAGGAAAGACGATTAAAAAAAGGTTACTGGTTTTTAACATAATGAAAGGAAGAAGTCTTCAGTTAAAATAAACATAAAGAAATAGAAAGAAGAAATAAAAGAAAAAAATAAAAAATCAAACACCCACCCACCCACCACAACAACTCTCCAAAACTAAAAAATCCAAGCAGCTAAGCATCCAAACCCAAACTAAAATCAAAAATAGGGACCAAGAGAAAAAAAACATGACAGGAGTAATTTCAATCCCTTTGTTAGCTTTCACCATCCCCTTTCTCTTCTGAAAGAAGTCTCAGAAAACATTCCTCTTAGCACTAGATTTAATGCTCCTTTATGTTCATATTTAAGTATTGTTTGCCTACAGAAGCTGTGCAGCCTGAAGGGAGGTGCTGGCTAGGAACCCACATCCCTGTGACTACAATTGCTTGGAAAACAGACTTACCAGCGAGAGCAGGAACAGCAGCAGCAGAAGGAACAGGAGCAGGAGCAGAAACAGGAAAAGCAGCAGGAACAGAAGCAGGAATAGGAGGAGGAAGAGGAATAGGAGCAGGAGGTGTAACACTAGGTTCAAAGTGAACTTGTGGAGATCGTGTTTGGAGACAGTAAATTTTAATAAGCAAGGAAGTGCACAATACTGGAATGTTTGTGACTGAAAGGAAAGGTTATTACAAAATGTCAATGGTTTCTAATAAAAAGAATGGAAAAAGCCTTTGTTAAAAAAAAAAGGAAGGAAGTGACGGAAGGAAGTGGAGGAAGGAAGTGGCAGAAGGAAGTGGCGGAAGTGGTGTAAGTGGCGGAAGTGGCGGAAGGAAGGAAGGAAGTGGCGGAAGGAAGGAAGGAAGGAAGTGGCGGAAAGAGAGGGGGAAGGAAGTGGCGGAAGGAAGGAAGTGGCGGAAGGAAGTGGCGGAAGTGGCGGAAGTGGCGGAAGTGGTGGAAGGAAGGAAGGAAGGAAGGGAGGGAGGGAGGGAGGGAGGGAGGGAAGAGAAAAAATAGTAATACCAAAAAAACCAAATAAACCCACCCCACAGCCAACACTTCCCAAAACCAAAAAAATCCAACTCCCCAAGGAACCAAAACCAAAGGAAAATAAAAAAACCCAAGCAAAGGGGGTCCAATATAAAAAATAAATTACTGTAGTAATTTTAATTGTTCTGCTATCTTCCACCATTCCCTTTTTCTTCTGAAAAGTCATAGATTGTTTCCATTAGCAATACTTTTATTGCTCCATTATGTTTACATTAAAAATTGATGTTCTATTTTCCTACAGAAGCTGTGCTGCATGAAGGGAGATGCTGGCTAGGAACCCAAATTCTAATGAGTGCAATTGCTTGACAAGCAGACTTACCAACACTAATAGGAGAAGGAAGAGGAATAGCACCACCAGGAGAAAGAGGAGAAAATCCGGCTGCTTTGGATTCAAAGTGAACTTGTAAAAATTTTGCTCGGAGGAAGAAATTTTAATAAGCAAGGAAATGACTGAACTGAAGGGGTTATGGTTGCAAAGAAGGGCCAATACAGAAATGTTAATGGTTGCTAACAGAAAGAAAGGAGAAAAGACTTCATTAAAAAAAAAAAAAAAAAAAAGAAAGTGACAGGAAAGAAATGAAAGACAAAAATAACAGAAATCAAAAACCCACCAAAAATCAAAACCCATCAAAAACAAAAAGAAAACATCCACCCAACAACCACCACTACTACCCAATAACAATAGATTCAACCAACCAAACCCAAACTAAAACCAAAAATATCTAAGCTAATCAGGACAATAGAAAAAAAAATAACAGTAGTAATTTTAATGCCTGTTTTATCTTTCACCATCCCCTTTCTATTCTGTAAAGTCACAGATCATTTCTCTTATCATTAGTTTTATTGCACCACTATGTTTAAAATCAAGTATTGTTGTATTTACCTACAGAAGCTGAGCAGCATGGAAACTCACTTCTAAGAAACTATAATTTCTTGAAAAGCAGACGTACCTGCAGGAGCAGGAGGAGTAATAGGAATAGGAGATGAAGTAGCTGGTCCAGGTGCAAAGTCAATTTGCGAGGATTCTGTTCAGAGAAAGTAAATGTTAAAAACCAAGGACATAGACAGAACTGAAGGGGTTATGGTTGCAAAAAAGACTATTACAGAAATGTTATTGTTTATAACAGAAAGAAAGGAAAGTCCTTTGGTAAAAAAAAAAGGAAAGAAAGAGGCAGAGGAAGAGGAAGAGGAAGAGGAAGGGAAAGGGAAAGAGGAAGAGAAGAGGAAGAGAAAGAGAAAGAGAAGGAGAAAGAGAAAGAGAAAGAGAAAGAGAAAGAGAAAGAGAAAGAAAGAGAAGGAAAGAGAGAAAGAGAGAAAAAAGAACAGAAATAAAGGTAATGTATAAAAATAAAAAAATTAATACCCACCCACCTGCCACCACCACTCCCCAAACCCAAAAAAACCATCCAACTAATCAACCAAGGAATTTGAACTAAAACCAAAAAACCCACTATCAAATAGTGACCAGCAGAAAAAAAACATACAGTAGTAATTTCAATGACTGTGTTAGCTTTCACCATCCCCTTTCTCTTCTGGAAAATATCTCAGGATGTTTCTCTTTGCAGTAATTTTATTGCTCTCCATTATGTTTACAATTAAGTTTTGCTGTATTGGCCTACAGAAGCTGTGCAGCATGAAGAGAGATGCTGCCTAGGAACCCTCATCCCAGTGACTACAATTGCTTGAAGAGCAGACTTACCCTCAGCAGAACGACTCCCAACAGCTGTTAAGGATCCATAGGTAGAGCCTGAAGAGTCTCTTCCTGCTCTTAATACATCAATTTTGGAAGCTGCCAGTGAGTAGAGATCCTCAAAACTTCTAACCACATTCTTAAATAAAAGTAGAAGGAATCATTAGTGCCAGGCAAACTACACTTAAATGGCAAATAGCACATATCCAATTTTTTTACAAAAGACAGGGGTTTTTTCTAGCAGAGAAATAAAATAGAGTTTGTAAGCCAGGGAGAATGTCAGTCCCAGGACTTAAACATCAAAAACACCTAACAGTGGATTTTCTATTTTTTTCTAAAATGTTGAATATTAATATCATTGAGGTAAAGGGAATTGCTCTACACCCTAGTTAGGAGATGCTTTGATGAGATGTTTTCAAGCATGCAATATAGCATTGAGCTCTTGAAACAACTTTTTCATTTTATTTCAATACAACACATAGTGCAGGTTCAATTTCTGTTCACAATTACCACACAGTTGAAGGCTAATGTTCACACTTCCAAGATGAATCACTTTACTAATCCTTCCACTCCACAGCAAAAGAATAAACTTGGCAGTAACAAAAGAAACATCACAAACCTACAGACTTCTGAAAACAAATAATATGATTGCACTATAACTGGAAAAATATAGCTGTTTCCATGTATGCAGTGGAAGAATGTCCCAATTTTGTTACATTGATTGGATTGATCATAAAGTTAGCAGGACAAGAGAGCACAGACGATTTGGCAGTACTGGTAACTTTATATCTACCCCTGGTAGTCTCAACTAACTGTTGAAATTATTGGTCTTCTTTACAATGGTTAATCACATTTTATTTGCTATGATTTTTCCCTTCTGACAGTATTACATTGGTCTTTTGAATGTAGACCTGTGATACAGACAAAAATCAGCTTAGTATCACAAACAGGGATTTGAAAAGATTTTTGCAGTTTTCCTTTCCTTTCATCACTTTGACGATTTTCAGAATAGATATTAACGCAGCTAAAATCAATCATGTTATTTCATCATGGTGTCTAGGAAACAGCAGTGGCAAATTAACCCATATCACATCTCTTTTCATCAGAAAGAATCTCCAAATTGTCTTGGTGCTGTGGTCCTAGTCCCAAAAGAGGATTATTGCAGATTATAAGGCATTTAATGGAAATGTTCTCATCACAGACTAACTAAGGCAGTTCTAGAGGATGTGCCTGCAAACAAACTCCAGTGCTTTTAATGACAATAGTCCCTAAAGTCATTCCTAGCTGCTTACCTCACTCAAGATTGCAGGACTGCCCTTAATACAGTTTGGCATAGAGTAAAACTAAAATCCATTAGGTGACCTCAGTCCATAAAAGGCAAATTTTGTAATGAAACCTCAATAATGAGATTGGAAAGAAATCAAACAGGAACTAGAGATGAGGGCTGAGGAGAGAGAGGGGGAAAAGGGGGAAAGAGAGATGATGAAAGGACACAAAGGAAAAGGGATGAAGAAAAGGAAGGTCACAGTGACACAGACTGTGAGCCATTGGTGCTGCTTGTATATGGCCAGAGTTACCAAGTGCACCTGAGGCTGCCAGGTGAACAAGAACTTTACAGTTCTGCCCCACCAGCGAGCTCCCCAGCACACACCGTACTATATTATTTGTACCACAAGCACCTTGTGCAAATACGAAATGCAACTGTTTGTGATTTTATTCTCTTCTGGAGAGAAAGAGGGAACAGGTTGCAGATGCTTCTGCAATCATTGTGAGGTCTAAAAAGAATGGGAGTTGAGATGGGACTTAAAAAAAAAAAAAAAAAAAGCAGCATTGACTACCAAATTAGAAAAGCAGGATTGAAAAGCTGGCGATTGCCACAATGCCTCCTGTGGAAAGATGCCACCCATGGGAACTTTTGTGAAGCTCTAAAATGGATCATCACTGTACTGGGGAAAAATTTGTAATTCTACCTTTTGACAGAAAAGTTCATCTGTGCTAATTAAGCTTCATGGGAATCTCAAGGCTTTACATATTCCGTATTTCCATATTTTAGTGTGGAAACACCATAATGCACACATAATTTATATCTTTATCATATTGAAGTGTATGTATGCATGCAAGAGGGCAACAGTGAAAAATTTCCAGCTTCGAATCTGCCTTTCTTGAATGTTTGATTTTGTGACCCTGATCTTGCAATTATATACTGCACCAGAACTGAAAATCTACAATAAATTTGAAGGAATTACTGCAGAAGCTTACACACTGTATGCAATATTTACTCTGCCTAAGTTCCTTGCACTTTACTTGATTACCTGCCCTCTCTCTAATTCAGACAGAGCAGCACAATGAAAGAAATATGTACTCACTTTGCCTTTTGTTCTCTCATTGGGAAAAAAAAAATCTGTCTTGGCACTAATGCATTCTGCACAGCTATAAAGACTAATATAGTTTCTGTAGAAGACATCAAACTTAAAAACAATGAGGAGGCATTGCACTGAATCTATGTTCAGAGCTGAAAATATGGCACATCTTCTGTTAATTTCTCCTTTTTCCCACTCATTGTTTTATCCTAACAAAATTAGTATTTTGAAATGTGCAAGTTTTTAAACCTACATGAGCAACATAGCTTCTATATTTAAACATTCTAAAGAGCAGTTTCTTTTAAATAAGGAATGCTCAAAACCCCACAATTGATTCTAAAACTGTGGGTTGAAAACAAATCTGATACTGACCAAGAAGGAATATGAAAATTGTGGTTTTTTTGTTTGGTTGGTTTTGCTTGTTTCTGGGGATCTTGGCTTTGGTTTTGTTTGGGTTTTTTTTGGTTGGTTTTTTTTTAATTAGTCTTTTGTATATTAATGGGAGAAAAGGGAGAGGGATAGAGGGATATTAATTTTCAGGTATGTATGCTTCTGTCCATGTTTGTATTGCTGTCAGTTATTTAACGCTGTAACTGCAAAATTAGAAGTTACCATCATCTCTGAAATACCACGTGCAAGAGTATACATGGAAATAGTCTTTCAACTGTTGACTGCAAGAGTTTTGAAGCTTTTTGCTCTCCACATGCTCAGAGCAGTGGTATGTCAGATGCAAAAAATGAAAGGAAATTTAAAAAAAATATTAAATGGGATTGGTTTTAGACTCTAACCTGTAATGAGGCAGCCTCTGGCCTGCCCGCCGTTGCTTCCTCTGGAAGGGTCTGCAGCTGCAGGCTGGGGAGTGGTGCGGCTGCTTCAGCACTTGATGCCGCAGCCTGCTCTTTGGCCTAAAGGGAAAAAACCCCAGCATCAGTGGTAATTCTCCTTCAGACACACCACCTGGGATGAATGGTGTCTCCTTGAGCCCATTGAGCGGACTTGCTTTGATCACTGGACCTAAAATCCATGAATAAAGTATGACTGATTGAATTTTTGTTGCAAATAAATCTCTAATTCAAAGTGCTGGGAGAGAATGCTACCGAAAAAAAGCACCTTGCCCTGGTCTGAAAAGAGAAAGGCCAAGGATATGGCAAATATGTATTACTGTAAAAACACAGCACTTGCTGCATGACATTCGCTTCCAAAGTTTGAAAGAAGCCGGTATGGAGATGGTGGTGGCACAACGGAAATTTTCTATCAGCAGAGTTTGCTGTAGGAGAAACATGCAGTTCAGATTCTGTCACTTTCCATGAACATTAAAGGAAATAGACTAGAAAAAGAGATCTGAAAAGAAATAAATTAAAGAAATAGCAACAGTTTTTGTGATCTCCAAAACTAAAATAGAGATTCCCACATTGCTGGGAATTAAAGATATAGTAAGGGAAATTGACACTCCCAGGTAATGAAATCACTGTTGCTCTGTGCTGCTCTAGATTAAAAACAGTTGTGAAACCATCTACCATGAGAGCTATAGTTGAAAATAGTCCTTTCTCCTAAATAATTAATACATACAGCTTTGTTGGACCATCAAATAGTCCTATATCAGGGCACAATTGTACAAGTCAGAGGAAAAACTTGAGATTACTATTAAGTTTAAAATATGATTTAAAAAATACTGTGGAAGTTTCTGACCACAGATTGCTACTTCCTGCCTTTTCCTATTTATGATGTTTCATAGGTTAAAGTAGCAGACACAAAGCCAAATGTTATATGGCCACCAAGCATGTGACTTTTTATTATTCAGTAGAGGGGTAACTTCAGTTGCCAATTTTTTGTGTGTTCATTAGTTTTCACTTGTCAACCAGAAAAAGTGTTCAGTGAGGGAAGGCAAGTGAATTTTGTCATAACTTCTACATTCAGAAAAAGTTGTGTATGTACTACAAACTTGCATTTGATTTCACTGTGGTTTTTTAAGATGGAACAAGTTGAGAGGGGAAACTTCAACACTAAGGAAAAGGAAGTTGTTTTGCAACAGCTTCTCTCCTCCCCTGAGAATTAGCAGTTCTAAGGCTTTAGCCATGTTTAAAAACACAAATCAGAGGGAACAGTTCAAATTCTTACCTTATTCAGGGCAGCTTCCACAGCTTTCATTTGACCAATGATTAACTCTTTGTCTCTATTATAAAAGAAAATAAAACAAAACAAAACAAGAACAACGGAGTAACTTTATGGAACTGAAGCTCTGCCAATGTAGAAATTAATCTTCTGCTACTTTATGGCTGTCATGTCTTGTAAAATAATTGTTGATAACCCAAACTATTAGGATTTTCTCTCTTTTTCATATTTCCAATGCAAACCCTAAAAATAGTTCATGTACCACTATTTGGTGCATTTCCATATGAAAGATGCTTCTGTTGAGGACAAGCAATTAAAATTTAGATAATCATAGGCCTATCAATGAACAACCATCATGGCTTGGATATAGAGGTCATAAAAAGTCTCTAGCAGGATGGAATTATATTCTTGTATTGGAAACCACAGACAGATTCTGTTTATTTCATCTTTTTGCTTATATTCCGAAGGGAGAAATAAAACCTATTAGTTGTGAAGAGTTGCTGTAATAATGGAGGGAAGAGTAGCTTTCTTTGTTGATATTCAGCTGCTATATACAAGAAAAAAAAAAAAAAGCCAGTTTTAAAGTTACTTCACATTAGAATAACCTTTTCTGGATATATATATATATATATATATGGCCACAAGGAATGATCTTTACTGAAATGCCCAAAATAGATTGGGGAAGGATGTAAAGGGCAAGCTTTCTGGAACAAATCTTTCTGCAGGTGACACCTGCTTTGATCAAATCATACCAAATAACATTTGTCATTTTACTTAGCTTGTTAAACATTTAACTGATGACCATACAAATTACATTATTTCCCTGGTGAATAAAACCCTTAAATCTTCTCAGATATTGTTCTTCAGAGGTCAAATGATCCCAGGTATGATGAGAAATTTTAATGAACTAAAATTTTTTTAGATCCTAGCCATGGAACAACAATATTCGTAACACATACTTCATACTATGAAAAGTATTAGACAACAAAGTCTGCAAAGACTTATTTTTTTCAAATGGCATAAGAATAAGTTAGTAATAAGCTTCAAGTCAAGGGGGCTCCTTTTGACTACCAATCTTTTCAAGACCACTGCCTGAGCCTTTCCTTCCTCTCCAGGTTATGGTGTAAGTGGTGTGGGGATTAGGTCTAAATCCAAAACTCCCTGAAATCAGCAGGAGGATCTATCTTGTACCACAGGAAAGCCATAGATCCAAAATGGGTTTCAGTCTCTCTGACAGTGAAGACCCGTCCCCTAGCTGATGCTTCTGTATTTACTATAAATAAATTGTATCTGTCTAGAAAAAGTTGGCATGGAAACTCAGAGAACAAACAACAATTTCTTAAATAAACAGAATGTTAAGGATCTGCCAAAGATATGTCAGATCAGTAAGATAGCACAGGTATTTTTTTTTGCCAGTTATTTCAGCACCCAGAATTTGAAGAACTATTATGGGATAACTGCATCAAATGGATGCCCTAGTATTTTGAACTAACACTTTTGTTTTTAGAAGACTATCCCTGAATTTAAAAATAAAAGAGACAGATGTACTTTTCTCTTCTAATCTTACATTGTCCAGGGCTAAAGCCCCGCCCTTGGAAGTAGAAATTTAAATCTCTGTTCATTTTCAGGTGACATCCCCCAGGCCCCAGGGCTCACTTTATTCCCTGATCAAGGGCACGTTCGGCCTCCTCGAGAGTATCCCACAGCCGCTTCTGGTCCTGCTCCATTTCTTTCAGGAGTTTCTCCTGTTGATCTAGAGCTTGGTCTCTTTTCTTCAGCTCCTCTGCTGCATCAGGGAGGCCCTGCCAGCAGACAGAGAGCAGGGTTACTCTGTAGCCCAAATAAACTTCACTTTACGCCACTGACTACTGACCAATGTGAAGGATAAATTGATTGTAAAGAAGATTTGGACCACTGCAACCTAAGGTTTCATGAATTTCCTAGCAAAAGCATTACTGACCCAGAACCCCCTTAGTGTTTGCTACATATAAATGTTCTTTAGAAAACAAAATGATTGTAGGCAAAAAAAAAAAAAAACCAACCAAAAAAACCCCCCATTGAAGACTTTTTCTTAAACTGTTAAAAAACCCCATTAGCTAAAAAAAATTTAAAAGGAGTCTTTGAAGTGTTTTCTCAGTAGCCTAAAGTTCCAGCAGACTGAGTAGTGCGGGTGTATTTACTCCGGTAATTTTATTTACACAAGGACTGCACTATTTGGCTTATTTAATGAAAAGTAATACTCTGGTATAAGAAGAATTTATTTTATATATATATTATAAGAAGAATAATCTTACCGTCGGAGATACTTGGCTTTTACTTAGCTCAGAAAATGCTTGTGATTCCAGTCTATTACTCAGCTCCTGAATCCGTTGGTGGTGCTTTTGTAAAAGCAATTGTGCCTCATGCTCACGCTGTAAAGCGTTTTGTAACTCCTCCTGTATATTGTCTTTGTTGATGTGCTGGAAAGAGAAACAAGTTGTGCCTGATTCTGTAACTATACCCAATGGCTTCCCTACCATTGAGTGAGTTCCACTTGCAAACATATCAAATTCTAAAATAAATGCATGCTTATGAGTACTATTGAGGTTTTTTTAACATGAAGACATCGCTGAACAATAAGATGGCAGACCAGTTAATTGCTGTGTTTTTTATAAAGAACATTCATGTAAAGTCTTGGCATTCATTACTCTATTCTAATTAACACCATGGGATGCAAAACTTCAGGATTTAGAAGGAAAAATATGCAGATCAATGTTCAGAATTTTAGTGGAGAGCTTATTAACCCTTGTAAACACCTTTGTGGGCTGTTCTTCTTGTCCAAAAACTGTTCCAGAAAGAAGTAATTCTTCAAAGAAAGCTGTCATCTGCATTTCAACTACTATCTAATATGTGATAATTTTCATCTAACAGTCCAAAACCACTAAGGGCATAAAACCTGTTAAGAGCAAAACTGAAGATGATTAGATATTTTTGAGCTTAAAAAAAATTCCATTTTACTAGCTAAGAACAGGAAGGACAATGGGCGAGACATCATCTAGCAGATATTCTTTGCTTGGTAGAACCCCCTGACAGGTTCTACCAACTAGGCTTCAGGTTGGGGAACCCACAGTGTCTCAGTAAGTCAATCACCAACAGCAAAAGGCTCAGGGGAATTTTGTGCTACTGAGAATATAGACAAAAGCTTTTTTCCCCCTGCCATAAAGTTACTTCTTCAGGGAAACAGACCTGCTAAACTTTGCATTGTATTTATTATAACATTCATCAACATCCATACAGAGTTTAAACTGCTATGTTTATATTTCATTAAAATTTTTATTGAATACCCTCATTCCCACTGACTTTATTCTATTAAGTGAAATCTTCTTTGAGGATATATAAATCAGATCAACATTTCCAGCAAATGGGAGAACCTGGATTGCTGAAGACCAAACTCTAATTTATACAGGATACCTCCTTCTACAAATCAAAAGATAACTCCAGTGGAAAAGAGATATTTCTAAATAAATCTGTCTTCTGGTTTAGTGACATTTACAAGGCAAGGTTTCTGGAAAATTCTGTTGAAAGTAAATCAATTTGATGCTTGTTTTCCAAAAGAACACAAATCAAAACATGTGTAGAAAGGAGAGTCTTTTTTAAGCAAGAGAGCCTCCAAGTCAAATGCACTTACTTGCTGAACTTCACTTAATTGGGTCTGCAGTCTGTGGGTTTTTTCAGCATCCTTTTGCATCTTGTTGAAAGCCCATCTGCATTCTTGAAGCTGCAGGTACAGTGAGCGGGACTCTACTTCTGCTGCATGAAGCCTTCGTGAAAATGCAAATATTTCTTGCTGCAAAGTTGCTATGTTTCTCTGTCAGCAAACAAAAACAAGTTGATGGGCTATAAAATCTGCTGTTTTAGCAATAAAATAAATAATATTTAAGACTCAAGAAAAAGAAGACAAAACATAATTTTTTCCTCCATCTCTAAAAGACATACACAAGGACAAAAGTTTGAACCTGTCACCTACCAAGGGTAACTGCAAATTCTGTTTACAAGGAAGTACTATTTTCACCTAAGGTTTACTAGAAAAGATTAGTAGGGAAAGAGTTTATCCTTTTATTTTGGTTAAAGGGAAGAAGGTTATCTTTACTGAAAGAAAGGATGGTAAACATGAGAAAGTAGAAAACAAGAATAAAAAGCAACCTTAACATTTACATCAAGCCAAAAGCAAATTTGTGCTTATAAGCTAATGCAGATCTGATAGAACTTAAAAAAAATCTTTTACTTGGATACACTAAACCTCCTTCAAAAATTCTTTCTCAATAAAAGAAAAGACCTATTCACACCCTAATGTGTGACAAATCAACTTCTGAGTGTCCATATAGTAGCACTTCACTCTCATGGACTCATCACCAGTCTGAAACAAAATAAATGCTGCTATCAAGGGAGCTTCAATGTTGCTGTAAACCTTCTGTTTCCATGAAGGAGGACTGCAAGTCTGCTTACTGTGCTGGGCAGTCTGTCATGCAATCCAGCTTCCAGGGCCTGGGCATTTAGTCTGCGGAGCCCACGAGCCAGCCTGTCTATCAGGGAGTCCCTCTCCAGGAAGGCTCTGCACCCACGAGTGTTCCCTTGAACTGTCTCCATCAGAACACTCAGGTTGTCCATCAGTTTTGCAAAGCAGTTCCTGGCTGTGCCGATCAGCGAGTTACTAGAAAGCCACAGCTCTGAATCTTTAAGAAAAAAACAACAAAAAGGAAACATCAAGCAGGTTATTAGTTCCCATTTCTTATAATATCATGTTCGTTTTCACTTATACGGGATGGAACCTGTAAATATTCTGAAACACAGAATGCTGAATCTGAAACACTGTTCAAACTTTGCTTTTAAAGGATATGAATTCAATTTATTGAAAAGAGCATGATGAAAGAAGAAAGTGCCTGAAACTGAATCTAAACACACTTGATTCAATGTCAACTTTTATACCAATGTAGTGTTTAGGCTTCTGGAAAATGCATCACCTTGTCTTTCTCCTGCTATTTCCCTTTATTCACATAAATTATCCCTCTTCTACTATCCTTTTTTCTGTGACAAAAATCTGGGGACTCTAAAACTATAGGTTAATAAAGAACCAGGGGTGGCGGAAATGCAGATGAATCAAGGGAACCTGTATCAGTTCTCACTGTAAATAAACTCCAGAAACAGCCCTCTGCTTCCATGGCCTCTATATACCGAAAGGATAAAATATCCTATCAGCTGTTTAAGAAAATTAATCTGTTCCAACAGTACAGAAATGTGATCATTCAGAGAATGTAGAAAAGGGTTATTATTTTAGCCTGCAGTAAAATTACTCTTTCAGGGAAACAGCCCCACTTAAATTTGTATTGACTAGCTCAGGACATAACTTCTAGTCAAAGGTGTCTATCATAAATATTCAGAAATATCTCTTCAGAGCTATCTAAACAGAATAGTTTAGATAAAATCATAAAAATGGAAATTATATGACCACCCTGACTTATTTATTTTTTAAATGTATTTCTGCTACAACAATATGCAGTTAAAATTACCTTGGTTGTTGAGAACACCCTCCAGATCTGAGATAGAATTGATCATTGCAGTATAGAGGTTAGAGCTACACAACCAGTTAATTGCTTCAATACAGTCAACTCCTTCCTCTCCAAAACCTGTAAAACAGAAGTGCAGCTAGCAGGATAAATAAATCACAAAAATATGGCACACTGCTGCCTCCAGCTCTTTAAGAAATTAACCAAAAAGAAGCATATAAACAAGAAATTAGTCAGGACAATTTAGACTGTTTGAAGCATGTTTCCCGAATGACATTAAAAAAAAAAAAAAAAGTAGATGAATCTTCTAATTTGGAAAACATTTTTAATACCATTTATCCTTGTAGAGAGAAATATAAACTGGTCTGGCAACAGAAAGGGGCAAATAGACATAATCTCTAAAGAAAATTTTGAAATCCTATGCTAATGTTTTACCTGAATCAGAAAGCAATTTTTGTGGGTTTTTACGAAATAAATATTAAAAATTATTTTTAAAAAAAGAGGAAATACCTTTTCCAAAAAAAAGAAAAGTCGTTTAGGAACATTGCAAGATATTTACCACAGGGAAGATGCTGTAGCACCTAGTTCTGAAATCCGTAACACAAATATCAAAAATATCAGATAATGTTGAGTTCATGAGCATAACTGAACTTTTACCTGCAATTCTTAACCTAAGACCAGGCATTTCCTCTTATAGTGAAATACATTCATCAAGCTATATAAAAAACATAAATCCATAAATAACATTTGTCAAAATGTCATTAAATATGTTTTTATGCCCCAACACTAAAAATAATATTCCTCTTTTTTATTCCCCAAACGTGCAATTTGATGTAACTCTTTAAAAACATTTCACTTACGTGTCACAGGATGCCTGCCTCTGGATTCTCCCAGACAAACTTGAATTCCAGGGCTTCCTCTGCATCCGTCTGACCAGACAAAAAAGGTACAAGAATATCGGGCCAGACCCCTCAGCCTGTTGGCAGCCAGAGCTACAATCACAGCTCTTCGGAACACATAAGCCAGCTTCTTGGCTCTTCTTTGCCTTGTCCTGACTTCGTCCTGGTTTCTTTCCATGACAGCAGGGAGAGCATAAAGGAGGCTGACGATCTTGTGGTTCAATAGTTGTTGCTGGTTCACCTGTTCCTGGAGAATGTCTCTTTGGCAAGACATGGCGCACAGTCGGCCGTAGAGAGAGCACAGGGCCCCTGATAGCAGTGCAGAGGCTGCCAGCAGGAATGAGCGTGCCTTGAAAGCATCTAATAATGAATTTTTCAAGGTATTGTTTTCCTGGGCCAGTTTGTCAGAGAGTTGTTCAAGGCCATAGAGGTTTTGCCTGTTTTTCTGCACCGTTTCTTCACATTCCTGTGACAGAAACAAACCAAACTATAATGGACGAAACATTAACTACATGGTTTTTACCTAGACAAGAATGAAAAGAAAATTTCGCTTTGCCATTCAAATGATGCATTAAAGGAGCAAAAGTCGTTAGTAATAATCGTGATGAAAGTGTCTCTTCTAGTAAGCAATTACAGAATAAGATGAATGAAACAAAAACAGTGGTAGGAGGGAAATTTACATGATAATCAATTGCAAATGGACTCTTGATTTCTGAAAACAATCCACCAACACCGTGACAGCTCACAGAAGGTCCAACACCACCTGTCTGCCCACAATTCAGTTTTATTAATTGCCTTAACAATACTAATAACATCCTCCAATTTCAGAGAAAACACTGCTGTACCGAGCAGAAAGCCAGTGTAAGTGAGAGGAAAAACATCAGGAAGTCTGGAACATGAAAGCTGACAGATTGAATTTTTCAGCATGCAGAGACTTCCAGTCCTGAAATCTGCATCAAATACAGCATTATTCTGTAAAGTAAGTTGCAGTAACTCACAAATAACAAGGGACATCTATTTCCTTTATTCACTATGCTTTTAATTGAAACAGGCGTGAAGGAGTGTGATGATAAAGACAGTAAATGGTGGTTGTGGAATAACAGGGAACATTTTGGATTGCAAATAACTCATCTAACAAGGAGTGACAGTTTCACACTTTTAGGCCACTCCTCACTGTAGTATCAGAAAAACAGAATTGCTTAACACCATTGAAATCTACCACTGCTCTTAGGGTCAGTACATACGTAACTAAATTTATCCCCAGGTGATACCACATTATTGTTATTCTATACAATCTCTGCAAATGATGATGCTGAAAAAGTAGCTGCTGCCCTCAGTAATTCTTAAAACAAGCAAAGTTGATCTTACAGCTTTAACATTCTCAGAAAAAGAATACTGCTATCTGCAGATGAAATCAGGCTTCTCAGCTGGGCCTGAAGACTAAATTCTCTTCAACAAATGCTTCATCCAAGTAATTTATTTCTTTTTTTAAGTGGTGTTAATATTAGCACAGGGATGGGTTGGTTTGTTGTTTGGTTTTGGATTTTTTAAAACTTTAAACGTATACTAAAATTCCCAAATGACCTTTAACTGCTAAGAGGCTTAAACTATTGAAATAATCAATTCAATTTTTAAAGAAAAAAAAAATTAGAAGTTCACAGCACCATACCTGTGATCTTGCATGAATTTCTGCAAGGGCGTTTGAGTACTGCTGTTCAAGATATTGCTTTTCTTTCTGCGACCAGTGTTCCTGTGCTTTTAACTGTTCAGACATTTTCTCCAAAGCATCCTCCTGGTTCTGCTGAAGGTTGTTCATAGTTTCAGTCTTGTGCTTGCACATATATTCTAGGTGAGATATCTGTGTGACAAGCATTTAAGAAGAAATTCTTATTTACCTTTTCACTTTAAGTTAAGCACAGACTATTCCAGCATAAAATCTAAACTGCAGTTTTTTCAATATTTTATTAAAACTAAGTAAAACCCTTTCATGGCAGATAAATTACTTGGTTCTCAAAACAAAACTGAAATATATTTTTTGGTTTCGGTTTTGCCTTCTACCACCTTGTCACCCTCTTGGCAGGAAACCTGAGCCAGACACTTCATAACTTTTCTTTTTTTAATGATTGTATTCAATTTTAGTAAATTAGTAATCCAAGTATATCCTTTAGAAGTTTGTGATGATTGCAAACAATAATTAAAACACAGCCTTTAATTTTTTGTTTGTTTGTTTGTGGTTTTTGATTTTTTTCTTTTGTTGAAAAGTCAAGACATTCCAGGTTATGATTAAGTTTTAAAACAATTTCAGGGAATTCTAGCACAGAGAATTTTTTCCTTACAAATAGCTCATAAGTTTATGATGTATTTTCAACAAACATGAAGGGATTCACTCTTGTGCTTTAACACTGCACTTCTCATGCAAGCTAAATGGAGGAATGAACCAAGCCAACAATGATCCCCAAATGCACACACCTCAACTTTCTGTTCCTAGAAAATATCAAGATACTTCCAGATAGATCACACTGAATTGTGTGGAAAAAAAGGTTTTTCAGCACAGTCTAAAATCCCAGAAAAGCTGCTCAGTACATGAGAAGAGCCCTAGAGACCTCACAATCAGTCTTAATAACAATCCTTAATTAAATAGCAAGCAACAATAAGACACAAGCCCTACAAACACTGCCAACAGTGTTCACCTTCCCTTCCCTTTCCTCATCTACTTCAAAAGAGAAATAAACCAGAACACAAAGTGATACCCTAAAGAGCTCTTTAGGCATAGCTTAGCCTCTGGAGCCAGCTGAGTTATTTTAGAAGGGGCTTTTTCCTTCCTAAAACCACAAGGTTTTCTGGGGAGAAAAGCCATGTAAGCTCATTTGCTTCAAAACCTTTCAGAAAAGTACAGCTCCTCCTTCATACAGATCCTGACATGTTTTAGAATAGGTATTTCTGTTTGTTTCTGAATAAAAATGTCATAGTCCAAAGTTACAATTAAACAAAAAAACCCCACACTGGCATTCTTTCAAAAAGTACATCTGAATCATAAACACAGAATTACAAGGTGATATTCCTTGAGAAAGTGTATTTTGCCTCTGGATTATAGTAAAATAAAGATCTGATTTATGACTGTAAATGACTATGTTCAGTGAATTTCCTCCTCAGTAAGATGAATTTATTGTCTTTTAATTAGGTCCCTGTGGATACTATCAGATTGTCCTTTCAGAATATCCTGCACAGAAGGTGGAGCTGGGAGACTTGATGCACACTCCACTCACATCTAAATGCCCCTGGCAACAAATTGAGCAGTGGACAAGCCATAATTAATGGTGCTCATTTGTTAGTGTCCAAATCCTTTTTTGGGGGCATGAATATCAGTCCTTTTTAACGAGACTGCAGAGTGAATAAAAGTCACTGAGCTCAGCAGAGGCAGCTGATGCCTGGGGACGCTCACCCTCTGCTTAGCCTTGTTGAAGTTCGAGACCAGGGCTTCAACATTCTCATGCAAGAGCGCACAAAGCTCTGTCCAAGGTAATTCTTCCAGGGGGACGTTTGTCTGTCTGGAAAGCACCTGGGCGTTTGCCAGGGTCTGGTATAAGTTCAGGAGGATGGACATCTCCCTCTGGAACACAAAGAAAAAAATTAATTGCTGTAGCTGGGCAATGTTAAAATCAAAAGAGATGCATCATATGTGCAGTAGCAGCGCTGAGCACAGCTGAAAACGAGCCCTTAAGGTTCATTCTCACAGCTTTACAAAATTCCTCAGTTCATTTCTAATAATTGCAGCCATAATATTGCATAATATTACAGCAGAGTAAGAAAACAGATTTCACAAAATTTACCTAGTTAGACACAGTATGTAAATAAAGTATGTGAGTAAATCCCAGTCCTGTGGGAGCCACAACCATGACCTGGCAGCTAAAAATTTCCATGCTCTTAGTGGAGGCAATTCATTCACCCATGTTAATACCTTGAGGTGCCTCCAAATTGTCCCCCAACACTTGCACAGCACACAGAAAACTGTCCATTTGGCTTGGCAGCACAATACACTCTAAATTCCTTTAAAAATTTGCTTTGTGTGGATTATATATGATTAATCAGCTGGCCAAAATGGGCCTACAGCTCCATCAGTCAAACTCCACAAGCCATGCCTCATTTCTTTACAGTGATTTTAATCAGTAGTATATTAAATGGATTAAAAATAAATTTTAGCAACAACAGCATGCAGTAGAAATTCAATTGTTCATACTTTCAGTTCATACAAGTGCCTTCAGATAATAGAAAGCTGTTTCTCAAATGCTGTATCAGTACAGTCAGAGATCACTATAAGATTATCAGACTAGAGTGGAAAGAACATATTCAGGAAGCATAAAAATGGTATAAAACATGGAAAAATACTGTACAGATCAAGAAAGCAGGAGGGGAAACTGAATGGGAGAGAACACACTGGCATTTTCACACAATTTAAGCATAGGTATAGCAGAGACTAACAGCAATATATTAAATGTTATCTATACTTAGTTTCTGCTACAGTCTTTGGCTTTTTCATTTTGGGAAGCAAAATCAGAGCTGTCTCAATGGAGTAAACAGGACCACCTACAGGCACTTCTGCTTCCCAAACAAATACAAACAGCTTTGGGAAAATGCAAAGCCATCCAAGGCAATAAATACCTGATCTCATAAGACAACTACTAATACAACTCTTCCAAAAATGAACATTTTTATCACCTGCTCAGGACAGTCTTGTGGTTTGAAATCCTTTGAGTAAAACAATTAAAACAACCAGTTCTATGAATATGACAGTGAGACAACCCTTTATTTTTTAACCTTGCGATAATATAACATTAATTTTGAGTCTACCATTAAATACTGTTTCCATTAAAAGAAATCTTGATCATGAATGGAATTTTGTCCATAATTATTGCCATGTCATATATTTTACTAGGGAATACAAATAAAAAGGAAAACTTCTGCCACAGCAACAGCTAGCAAGCACTTTAGGTTAAGCAAGAATTTTAGTAGAATATTTTCAGCTTGCAATTGTGTTTTGTAGTTATAAATAGCAATCATTAATGCCTGTAGTTAGGGCAGACAGTTGCTTTTCTCTGGATGTATTCCTTTTGTGCCTGATGAAATTACTTTCTCAGCCTAACTGGGCCAGCAAATGTCTTTTAATACATTAATGCTTGCAGGGAAGAAGCTGTTATTCTCCCAGAAAGAAAAAAGAAGACCCTGATTTTATTTGTCTCCAGCTTATGAATCACAGATCTGCCTGGGCAGTGGACAGCACTGAGACAAAATGTGGAATCACTCCATCAACTGAACAAAAGACACCCACAAATCTGAAGACTCTCTGATGCAGGTCTCTGCTCCTGTCCACAGGGAACAGACCTCATGTACCTTCCATGCTCAGAGCTCTGAGAGAGAAAGAGAAGTTTCCAAGCCACCAGCAAAAAAATATTTATATTGCTAAGAGTAGAAAGAGAGCAGATGTTACCACACTATCAAAGGAGAGATTTTCTAAACATGCTGACAACTTTCCTTTGTCCCTGCTGCTATGCAAAACGATGACAAAATTGTTATTCAAGGTGTAGCTGGGTAAAGACAGTAGAAAAGCCCAAAGTGGTCACATAAGAGGAGAAAGTTTTCAGAAAATAATCCAGCGAAATACATCCAATGTGCCAAAGCCACAGCAATACAAGTAAAAAACAAAACAACAACAAAAAAATCCCCTCTGCTTTTCCACCTGAAAGCTTGAAACAATTTTCAAGCAATTTTTACAGTTAAATACTTGCACTAAAACTAAAAAGGTGTATGAAATAGAAATAAGCATTTCTACAATGGTAGCTAATGAAACTTGACAAAAAAGTTAGGTAGAAAGAACATTCTTCACATGATATGATAATCAATATCTACAAAATGCCTTAATTAGGAATGCCAGTACATCCTACCCATACTTTAAAAATATTTTCAAATTAGCTTCTCCAAGTCATTGGTTACATTTATTCATGTAGTAAATTTTTTTAAAGCTAACATAATAACAGAAAGGGTGAGAGAATGGCAGAGTTCTTCCGCAGCTCAGCACAGCAAATGCAGCAAATCCTCACCACAGTAAATATTTTGACAGTATGTTTTAAAACACCTCAACAATGTGTGTCACATATTTTTCCTTACTATTGAGCACTTTTTATTTGTATTTGCAATTTACTATTGAGGATTTTTTTCCTTACTATTGAGCCTTCATGCAGGCTGAAGCTGTCTGGAGGAACCGCTATTGTGGCATTGGGATCTTGAGCTCTCCTCATGGCCTCAACCTTGTCTTTCCATTCCATACCGTAGGTTATATGCTGTCTTGGTGAACTGGAAAGTTTCCACAAAAAAGATACTTTAACTAAAATTACTTTTGTCGCATGCTCTATGTTCTTTTAAATGATAATCAATGGATATGGCAGATACCACTTTAGCACATCACATGGATCCTGAAGCTGCTTGCCTTTCTTAATTGAATGAAGAAATTTATATTCCTTCTAAGAAAGATTTTTCAAGAGGTTATATTTTCAGTTACCAAGCCTGCTGTCATGCAATTCATAAGATTTTTTGGATGTGGCCTCAAAGTTACATATAACAAACAGAATTCTTCATATTTTAATTAGCACAATAACTGTCTTCAGAGAGACCATGTCACATGTTGCATCATCAGTCCTGATTTCAAGTACAGTTCTTGCTCTTAAGATTTCCACATGCCTGACCCTACTCTGGTCTGACTTTGAAAGCAAGCTACCCAGAATTTTAATCTGTTCTTGTACTGTGTCAGTCAGGAAAACAGATATACCAAGAGCCTGGCATGACTAAACAGGCAGCTGATGAGGAAACTACAAGGCAAAACAACAGCATAAACGACACAGAAGCACAGAGAGGGAATGCAAGGAAGAATTTTAAAAGATTGCCTAAGTATTTAGGCATGGTATCAGGAAAGCCAAAAGCTTGCTTAAAAATGATCTTTGCAAAGGATGACAAAGGTTTTTCCAGCTCAAGTTTGAAGTATCTTACTAAAAACATGTCCATAATCATGAATCTTGAACGAGTTGCTCGGGCCACAAACTTCCTTTCTTGTGGGAAAACTGATTTTTTTCCTTCTCCACTACTCCTTGTGTGAGTAAGTCAAAAGAAACACCTGTGTATACGGACCCAAATAGTTCTAGGCTGAAAGAGACGTCACCCAAGTTCTGCTACCACAGGCACAGCAGACTGTGCTGTGGAAACATCCCAAGAGATTTCCTGTGCTCTCACACTTTTCAATGTTTTTTAACCATGTCAAGCTTTCTACAGTCATTCAAAAGTTGAAAACAAAGATTACCCACTATAAATGATACCCAACTTCTTGACAGGAGTCTTAGAGATCCAACTGACTCACTGAAGTGGAAAACAATGTTTTCATAATAATATAAGAATTGGACATCTTTTGGATATCTGCTGGATATCTTTTCCTACACTCACCCCAAACACTACTGGAGGCTGGACCCTACCATAAATACGATTTTCAAAATTTTTGGTTTGGCAAATAATCTGTAGCAGGCCAGTTATTATCTGTACCATTCACAATAGCTTTGGTTACTGATATGGGCCTGTTATTAATGGACTGCCAGATTCTGAACCTTTAGCTTGGTTTGTCCCATTGCCCTAGAATTTTCTGCTGACTGAAAATTGCAGGGAATTTTCTATTTTGTACTCAAGCTGTCTACTGCCATTTTGGAATGGCTTTAAAAGGAAACTTACGCTTTTTTTCCTGTCTCAAGAGCATTTACTGGCTCTCTGAAATCTTCCCTTGCTACCCCTTCTGGCAAAGCTTGTCTTCTGCCGAGCTGATCTTCATTCAAAACGTCTTCGAGTTCTTGAATTCTCAACTAGCAAATGTTAAGAAAGCAGTTAAGGGAAGTTAGGAAAGATTACCACGGTCTTTCATGCTGTTCACTGCTCTGTTCTGCTTTTTACAGGTGAATATATTCTATTAATTCTGTATGGAATCAGAAAGCATTGAACACACATAGAAATGTATTAATACATAGAGTTCAAAACAGAGAGAAATAGATATGCCAACCAAAAGCACATTTTGTTGTCCTTGCGTGGTGTTTGGATTTTCCTGATTTCAATTATTTATATTACTGAAGTTTTCCAGGGGAATTCTATTCATTAAGTAGGCTCATAAAAGTGTAGGATAAACAGTAAAAGCTACACTTACACTCAGAGCAAAGCTCATGTGGAGCTTGTTCATGTACATAAACAAGAAAGAAAACCTGCTGTGTTCTTCACCCAAAGAAGAGAAATCTCTAACTTCCAGGAATGTTACCTTTCCCTTTGTATGTTGTAAGAGTAGAGAAGGAATAAAAAAACCTGCATCATCATTACTTATTTAATCATCACTTCAGAAATCCAAGTGCCTGTACTTAGAAAAAGTAATAAAAAAATAACTGACTGAAGAAGTGGAAATGCTTTTTTGAGTTCCTCAGAAAATAAGAAAAAATTAATGAAATTCACTTTTGTTTTCTCATTTAGTGTTTCTAAATTCCACTGCTAGTCAGATCACTCAGCAGATCAAAAGATCACTCAGCAATCATCTTTCAGGTTTTTCACTTTTTTTTTTTTAATAAATCCTAATTGCTTTAATGGATCAAACCCTATGTGACACAGTTTAGTGATACAAAAATTTAATATTCAAGTATACATATAGCATTTTTTCATATATTCAAACTTTTCTGGTAACAGCAGATGTAATAGCAGAAATGAACTCTGAATATTTACATTTGGAACTGCAGCCTCAGGATGCATTAATATCTCACACCTAGAGAAGTTGGGTGAGTACACTCTATCTCTGAAATTATATAAGTGCCCATTCCAGAGATATAGGACAGAATATTTTAGCAGTTTAACTATTGTGAAACATTTCCTTTCCCCTCACTGTTTCAATGCAACTTTGAATTCTAAAACATAAGAATGTGACATTTTATTTTAATATTGATTCTATTAACTTGACAGTTCCCTGGAAATAAAGGAGATGTTTTTCTATTACCTTTTACAGTCTTGACAATCATTGCAAAAATATCTACTCAGTGTTTTCACTGGAGCAAGGAAATCTTAACATTTTTGGAAGATTGCACCTTTACAAGTCCATCTTCTATTTTACTGCAAACTTCCACCAAATATTTAATCAAAAGTTTACCTGCATGACATCTGTTGTGTATTTACATTCTACATGTGCTAGTCTTGCTGCTGCAGCATCATCCTCCAGTTCCTTTATTTTCACTGCAGCTGCCTAAAAGTACATTTTAAAAATATTTAAGTCCAGAAAGATGATAACATCATGCAAAGACAACTTTATTTGTTCACTTTATTAGGTCTCCATAAACCAACCTGTGGTATCTGAACTACTTGCACTTTGGAACTGTGAAAACTCATGCCAATAAACAAATGAAACGAAATCATTACATATCCAGAATATCAAAGTAATACTTTCTATTTAGTTAAAGAAATTGATGTAGGATTATGCTCTTGCTACAGTTTTTATAGTCACAGATACGTGTCGCTACATAAAGGCCTGGACATGATATTTCAATTGAAAAAATGTTTTTAGCAAAAGCAGTAACTACAGAGCTGCTGTAATAGAAATTCACATGAAATTTTAATTACATTCTTTCCTATCAAAAACATCCTCTCACTTTGACTGATGATTGATTTGAAAAGAACATCACACCCCAAAATGACTCCTGCCTTCAAGTGATGCCACAAAGATGAAGAAAAGGACATTAATATTAAAAGTAATTGAAGACACTCAAGGTTACACAGATACAAGTAAAGTCATTGATTTTGGACAGGTAAAGCAAAGTAGCAAGTATGTGAGACTGAATCCTAACTCTAAGAACTTCAGTTAGGGAAATGTTAACTTAAAAATAAATAAATAAATAAAATTTACATACTAGCTGTTGGCAATAAATTTAAACTCTGTATAAGCCCGCACATTCACAAAAGGAAATAATTGAGAAACAGAGATCTGTGGAAGGCCTATTAAAGAAAAAGCCACAGCACAGAGATCACCAAACCCCCTCCACAAAAGCATCAGCCAAAAGGCTTAAGCTTTGCTTCCTCCCACAAGACCTATCCGCTTAACATGCTTAAATAAAAAATTTTAAAAAACTCACAAATCCCGCACAAATTCTTCTTCTATACATCTGTATTGCTAAGATTGCTTTCCCAGTGACATAAACCCCTTTCCATCTGCAGTTCAAACACCACTCTCAGGTCGGGCTCACAGCATTCACCTGTGAATCCACATTTCCTGCGAAGTGACACTCCACATTTTGTTAACCAAACACAGGGCACTCATAACCTGACTCAGAGGTTTCACCCCTCAGAAATGACACTGCTCAGTTGTGCCAGTGCTTGCTGAGGCTCCCAGCAGCAGGCAGAAAGCTTTACCTCCAGTTCTTTGAGGAGCCTCTCCTGCCGTTTGTTCTTGATTTCCAGAGAGCTGGCCTGGAGCCTCAGCACCTTGGCGCAGCCATTGTGCTCTGCCTCCATGTCCTTCAGCTTCTTGGCAATGCTTTGCAGAGCAGCATTAGTTTTCTAAAGGTAAGCAGGTAAAGGAATAAATAAATAAATATGCCAAGAGGCACTTTTTCTATGATAAAGTATTGCAGTTGAGAGTTCAACAGAGAAATGGAGACTGCATCAGAAGATGATGTTAGAATTTTAAAATCTACGACGCCAGCACACGTCAACAGAAGTGCTTACCCAACAGCAGAGATGCTTTTGATTCACCATCAAGAAATCTATGTTGGGCTAAAAAATCACTGTGAACATTATCTTCTGTGGTAACACTAAAATCAATACCAGATCTCCACAGGACATCTTTCCCTAAAAGACTACAGCCCTTCCAATCTCTTCTGTCTCCCAGCTCTGTGGCAATGAAACGGAGTGCATTGGGTGAACTTTTGTCCCCAAACAGGGGACATTTTTGTTATGATTTTGATTGCTCAAACTTCAAATCAGATGTTTTTTAGAAACAGCTAGTCCCACAGACTAAATAATTTTGATTTCTGGTATTCTGAAAAGGATTTGCTACTATCTAGAAACTGAATTACTTTAAAAACTTGTGAAATATGAAGTCCTCAGTAGAATAATCTGGTAAAATAATCTGGTCTCCACTCAATTTCTGCATACAGAAATTGAACTAAGCTGCAGGCTGGAAGCATTACTTCAATTACTGGACACTGCAGCTCCACGAAATCACTGCTACAGAATCCCCATTGTCCATATGAATTTCATTTAAATTTAAGGTAATCCTCTAGGTTTGAATGTCCAGCAAGACAGTTTTCTTCCCTTTAGAATGCAAGATAAATAAATAAATAAATAAACAAAAAATTAACTGTTTTCTACATTTCCTAACATTTCTACTCTATACCTAGAAAGATAGAGAAATATCAGGTTTATCTTCCTAATATTAACAAATTTGAACTGGGGAATGTGAAATAAGTAGCAGGTAGTTTGCTGTGAAATACTACAAAAAATTTAGAAACATTTTCTACTGGAGATATAATTCGCATTAGCAAACTAAAATTGTCGTGAGTATATCAAGCTCATTAAACAAGTCAGAATGAGCTGCAGGATTTCAGAGTTCTGAAGAATTTCTGAACTTTTCGGCAGCCATATGACTGTTGAATACTATCCCCATAATATTTGCTCATGAAAAACACAGCTGTTTGGGTTTTTTTGGTTTTGTTTTTTGTTTTTTGGGTTTTTTTTGTTTTGTTTTGTTTGTTTGTTTGCTTTGGGTTTTTTTTCTTTTTTCTTTTTTTGATTTTTGGGGGGTTTTTTTGGTTTTTTTTTGTTTTTTTTTAAACGACACAATCTCCCAGGTTTTTGAAGGAAAAGACCATGAAGGCCTATGGACTCCTGCCTAACCACGAGACGATGCTATTGCCCTTCCTATCGCATCCGAGCCCTCCTGTCCCGGGCCAGGATCCGCCCAACAGATCCTGTCACAAAGCAGAGAAGGTGATTTTTCCTGCGTGCTCGTTCCAGAGGCGCATTTCAATACTCCATGACTCCACTCCCATGCCTACCTCAGCATTTTCACAGCCATTTATAAGTTCAGAATTACGGCTTGTGACCTGCAGTTTTTCCGGGAAGGATTTGCCTACATGCTCAGAATCCCACTTCTCTGCACTTATTAAGACCACAATTAAATCTCCTTAGCTTTCATTTTGTAACTCAGAATAACTAAAGGAGATTTAAACCAGGCCTGTAAATACACAACACAAAAGACTGCAGTGTATGCAAAGTCATAATTTATAAACCCAAACATTTCTGATGTTCATCTGACAAGTTTAAATGAATTCAGCTTTCAATGCAGTCAAGCCCAGATGTAAGAATTTTTATTTCCTGTAATTTTATAACTATCCATAACATAACTCTAGGGTGATGGGCAGGCGAACAGCTACAAAAGCAAAGTGGAAAAATTTAACATTTTTATTACCGAGGCAGGTTAGGGTTTGGCACCTACCAGTGAATCAGATTTTCATTTCAGTGAAAGTCCTGAAAGACTTTTGAGTTCAGTGACATCAAGACTGAAACCCTACAGCTCACTCTGGCCTGTTTAACTAGATGTATTCATGGCAATCTTAGTCTACTCATGCTAATTACATTTCCTACAATTTTGTATCTTTAATGCATTTACCAACAAAACCCCTTCCTCTACAACCACTGTCAGAGAACACTGCCAGGGGACTGACAGACAACACAATGTCCTGAGCCATACACTGCTCCTTTTGTCCTGTTTCAAGGACAAACATCACTCGACAGAGCATGGCATACTTTTTCAATGCTGATTTTTGATGCAGCATTAAACTCTCTGAAGGTAGCTCCTATAAAACACTGTACACAACAGAAGGCAATACCCTTCCAGAGCCTCCTCAAATTAACTCAGCCACTTCTGTTGGCCAGAACTCAGAGCTTACCCTGCTGCCCCTGGCAACTTAAAAAGGAAAACTCTACATAAAAGTGGGCTTCTTCACCTCCGATATCCTGCCCAGCTTTACAAGGATCAGCATTGAATAAAAACTGGTTTGTGTTTCTGTTGCAGTGTGTTATAATATCCTGTTTTAAACTTCCGGGTCCCTTCCCCAGGTGTGCCAATACCTCTCTCCCTTCCCCCTCGCCCCCTTGCTGAGTGAGTTCTGTCAATCAGGCTTAACATTCCAGCATGGCCTCCTATGGTTGGTCACTTTCAAAGGATGCCCTTCAAGCCTGGGGATCATTGGCCTGTCTAGGTGTCCCTCGTCCCTTGAGATCCTCCCCCTCCCATCTGGTTGGTGGCACACGTGTCCTTTCCCTTCCCCTCCCCCGGAGCTTAAAAGGGCAATCGGACCATGTGCTCAGGATTCTGTTGGAGCTGTTGCCAAGATTCAGACCTCTGTGACCATGGAATAAAGCTCTGGATATCAACCCTCCACCAGAATCCGTCTCCTTTCTCTTCACCATAGCCTGAAGCCTTCTCTCCTGAGGTAAACGGAGTTCCTAACAAGCCTGGACTTGTTCAGCTGCCCAGCTGCAACCACCAGCAAGCTAAAGGTGTCTCTGGGGTGACACACCACAGTAGCCGCCTTTGGCCCAGCAGCAAGGGTCAGACTGGCCCAGGCACAATCTACCTGGTGATATTGGGATTCATATTCAAATATTTTGGCGCCCAAAGTGAGGCTTCATGTTTCTGCTTGTTTTGAGAAGGACATCAGGTCCTGTCCACAAGCTCCTCTGTTTTTCACTACCACTGTGTACTGATAATTTGGGTTAGGTGTTTACCATGACAAACAGGCACAACACCTTCCATCAAAGCCCCAAACCAGCATTACACACTAAGTGTAATAACTTCATAATTCTGTAACTTCATTACTTCTGTAATCTTCAGAATCATTCTGCAGTATTTAGCTATTTGGGGGATTTTTTTCCCCCTTAAACCAGAAAACCTCCAACCCACCCCACACTTTGTACCAAAAACCTTTCAGCCAGCATCTCATGGAACTTTCCATCTATTAATACATCATACCTGAAAAGCCATTTCTGCTTCAGCTTTTTCTCTAATGAGGAATTCTAGCTCAGCAAGGTGTACTCTGTGGATGTTATCCTTCTCCACTGCACATCTTTGTTGCTCTGCTTGAAGCTGCCACTGATCACTTTGAACTAATTTCTCAATCTCTGATGCTTTTTGCTGATGTTTGTCATTGATTACTGTTGTTTACAAAAAAAAAAAAAAAGAGAAAGACAAAAAGAAAAGTAGCACTGAAAATTAGCATGTTCAGAAAAAAAGTAGAATGAACATAAGTTCCTCTGTATATTGTGATATCCTGTGAAACACTGGAACAGTAACACTTCCAGTTTCACTACAGAGAAACAATCACATTCTGTGTTCCTGCAGCAACTTTCACACAAGGACATAGAAATGCTTTGGAGATTTCTACAAGTTTAAGCTCTTCTCCCTTTGGAAAGGAATAAAAATTCAACTCTTTCAAGTGAGGCCTCTATAGCATAGGGAACTTAATAACTTAATTACATTTTTCTGCAACACTTGGCTAGCTTATTTCCAAATATTTATGAGATACTTCAGTCTGTAGCAATTAATTTCAAGCTCATTTTAAGTATCAATAAAGACAAACACCAGCCACATGAAAATGATTCTAGGAAAACCTTAGGCAGGTTGGGCTAATGAGCAAAGGCTTAGCTTTTCTGGGGAAATTTACTGCTGCTCAAGAGAGTTAAATCTTCAGCCCAATGGTTGCCCCAAGATAGGGAAATACTGGATCTACTTCTCCGTTAAAGCGTAAATCCCAAGGAAGAGCTCTTTTCCTAAAAGCAGTTTTACTAGGAACTTTGCTTCATTTCACAAACTCCGTCAAAATATGTTGATTTTTTTTTATGTTGCTGAGTACAACTAGCTATGTTGGCATTTATGTGATCACCACTTTCTAATAGATTTTTACTTCAAATTCATCCCATTCTTCTGAAATTTCTTCCTAGATGGAGAAGGCTGAGAAAACCAGAAGAGACATGTTGGGAAAACACAGAGAATTTGTGGACACAATGATGGAAAAGACCTGTCAGATGTCAGGAATCGAACCTCAAGAAGAACAGCAGAAAAACAGTTTGGAGAGGATACTAAAGAAAGGGCACAAGTGAGGTGCTCTGTCCAAGAAGTTAAGCTGAGATGGTGTCAAAAACACCACACGAGGTGAGCAAGGCTCCAAGAGACAAGGAAGAAGAAGCAGTAAGTTAAAAACTGAAAAAGAAATGAGAAGCAACACTGCAACTATTTGGCTTTGACATTTATCACAATGAAAACAAAACTGGGGGAAAAAAACCAACAAAGAACAGAACAAAACAAAACTAAACTAACAAAATCCCCTACCAAACAAAAAACAGCTTGAGAAATTTAAACCAACCAAGATTTTTGTAATTTGTGTGTTCTCCAAATGAATGAAAGTGCAGAATTCTTATTATCTTTTAAAAAATATGGCAGTGTAAATGCACTTTTAAGTTTCAGAGTCTCCTTCCATCCTTGTAAGGTTACAAAGTTCAGGAGTGCTCCAGTCTTTTCAGTGAACACCAAAGATTCCCAAATACATCTCCTGTACTGAATTTAAACAGTATTTTATTTACTTAGGTAACAAAAAAAACCAAGCAAACAAACAAAAAAAAATCTCCCCAGCTTTTAAGAGTGAGAAATCTCTTTCTGCTTGAGAATAATTAATAACTTAAGTTTCTGAATGCAAAACTAGTAGGGGAAAAATGTGCAGGTAAAACCATTCTTTTCCACAAACTAAACAAAACCAAAGATGAGATGAAGAGGCCAGATATGAGCAACAAAAAGCTAGAAATATCTGAAAAGGTGAAAGAAAAAAGCAGCACGATGAGAACTCCTGGGGAGAAAGACAAAGCTTTTTGGAAAGAGTGTAAACAAATAAACAGGGTTTGATTTTATTATATTTTCCCCCTGAAAATAAAAAGGAAGAACTGCTGGACATAGTGATAAGCAGGATGGGGAGAGGGACTCCTTAATTACAATTCTGTACACACTGAAGGAAGGAATAACAGAAGGTAAGGAGCAAGAGAAAACAAAGGTATTGATAGGCATAGCAGGTTATATTTAATTCATACGAGACAGCAAGGGTTTTGCAAACTCTTATGAGCTTATAGAAGCAGAGGAGTAAGACATGGGAAAATAAGAAAATAAGAGACTTTCAAAGAATGCTGTAACTGTAAAACCTTGTGCAATCTCTGCTTTTGTAATGACTTGGGACTGGTGTATCCTCTGGCCATGATTTTTTTTTTTTTTTGAAAATTACCTTGAAGTTCCATAACTTTGGTTTTTGCATCACACAGTTCATCCTCTGCAGAATACAGCTGTAAATTAGCTTCTTTTCTAGCAAATTTCATTTCACTCTCCAGATTTTGACGAAGAAGTTCTCCTTTCTCAAGTTCCAACCTTAATTGCAGTATTTCTTTTTCATAGCGAGACATCTAGAAAATAAATATTTCAGAGATTGCATTCACAGCTGCCATCTTATCCCATCTGATTTTTAAATACAGTCTTGAAACCACACATTTTAGATACTTTTATTTTTTTTATGCAAACTGATCCTGTTCCTAGATCATTTTCATGTACCTTAAATGTACCTCTCTGTTTTTCCAAACATGCTCTGCCTTAAGAAAAGAAAAGCTACAATTATATTCCACAGGCAGTTTTATGGTAACTGTATTTAGCAACTAGAAAAGCAGTTATGTTGGGATATTAGATTATCAGACACCTAGGAACTCACTATGTAAACACAAACTTCAGTCCAATGATGTTCGGCAGTCAAGCAGAATGCTATTAAACACAACAAACAAAACAAAGAAAAGGCTTCAAAAAGGACTCTTATCTGGTGTAAGAAAGATAGTCTAGTCAGTGCTGCCAAAACTAGACCCAGGAAACCACATTCAAGCCATTAGAACTCAAGAAGGTGGAAAGTAAAACATGAATTTCTTCAGAACATCTACAAAGCAGCAGCATCCTTCATGCATGCCCCATTCATAGGAAATAATTTAGCCCCCTTACAAAGGTTTTCCCTGATGCTCTTGTGGCAAACTGGTACCTAAATGAAGTAGCAGTGAGAAAATGCTTCATTAAAATTTTCTTTCGTTTGAATTTTATTACTGATATAAGTAACAATTCTGCTCTTATCAGTTTTTTAGGGGCATCTGGTGTGGATGCTCATTCATCTGTTTCCTATTAAATACAGCCAATAAACCAAGTTTGTTGCTCCCTATCCATTTGTTTAAGGATTGCTGCTTCTTACACAGGGATTTGCCCTTGTCCTGACCCCATTGCTCCATCAATGGTGGGGTGATTCTGTAAAACGGACCCCTGGAATTACTGGGATTAAAATACTCAGACAAACAGACAAACAAACCACATCTTATGCTGAGAATTCCAAAGCTGGGGGTGCAAAATATTCTCCTGCATGGTTGTACTGTTGTGTACTGCTCAGGTTTCTTACACACACCTTCAGCTCTTAGCAATGACACTAAAAGTGATATCAGTTCCTAGGGACAGGCATGAGATATCTGTACAGTGCTACTTTGTTATTTTCCAACTTCTGAATGTGATTTTTACTCACCTGATGAGAGGATTACTTCAAGGAAGCAAATTGCATTTAAGGAAATTAATTTTATTTTTACCCGTAGAATAAATTACAGTTTTCTGTGTGCTGTGCAAGTGTTGGGGGACAATTTGGAGGCACCTCAAGGTATTAACATGGGTGAATGAATTGCATCCACTAAGAGCATGGAAATTTTTAGCTGCCAGGTCATGGTTGTGGCTTCCACAGGACTGGGATTTACTCACATACTTTATTTACATACTGTGTCTAACTAGATAAATTTTGTGAAATCTGTTTTCTTACTCTGCTGTAATATTATGGCTGCAATTATTAGAAATGAACTGAGGAATTTTGTAAAGCTGTGAGAATGAACCTTAAGAGCTCGTTTTCAGCTGTGCTCAGCGCTGCTACTGCACATATGATGCATCTCTTTTGATTTTAACATTGCCCAGCTACAGCAATTATTTTTTTTCTTTGTGTTCCAGAGGGAGATGTCCATCCTCCTGAACTTATACCACACCCTGGCAAACTCCCAGGTTCTTTCCAGACAGACAAACGTCCCCCTGGAAGAATTACCTTGGACAGACCTTTGTGCGCTCTTGCGTGAGAATGTTGAAGCCCTGGTCTCGAACTTCAACAAGGCTAAGCAGAGAGTGAGCGTGCCCAGGCATCAGCTGCCTCTGCTGAGCTCAGTGACTTTTATTCACACTGCAGTCTCGTTAAAAAAGACTGATATTCATGCCCCCAAAAAAGGATTTGGACACTAACAAATGAGCACCATTAATGATGGCTTGTCCACTGCTCAGTTTGTTGCCAGGGGCATTTAGATGTGAGTGGAGTGTGCATCAAGTCTCCCAGCTCCACCTTCTGTGCAGGATATTCTGAAAGGACAATCTGATAGTAGCCACAGGGACCTAATTAAAAGACAATAAATTCATCTTACTGAGGAAGAAATTCACTGAACATAGTCATTTACAGTCATAAATCAAATCTTTATTTTACTATAATCCAGAGGCAAAATACACTTTCTCAAGGAATATCACCTTGTAATTATGTGTTTATGATTCAGATGTACTATTTAAAAGAATGCCAGTGTGGGGTTTTTTTGTTTAATTGTAACTTTGGATTATGACATTTTTATTCAGAAACAAACAGAAATACCTATTCTAAAACATGTCAGGATCTGTATGAAGGAGGAGCTGTACTTTTCTGAAAGGTTTTGAAGCAAATGAGCTTACATGGCTTTTCTCCTCAGAAAACCTTGTGGTTTTAGGAAGGAAAAAGCCCCTTCTAAAATAACTCAGCTGGCTCCAGAGGCTAAGCTATGCCTAAAGAGCTCTTTAGGGTATCACTTTGTGTTCTGGTTTATTTCTCTTTTGAAGTAGATGAGGAAAGGGAAGGGAAGGTGAACACTGTTGGCAGTGTTTGTAGGGCTTGTGTCTTATTGTTGCTTGCTATTTAATTAAGGATTGTTATTAAGACTGATTGTGAGGTCTCTAGGGCTCTTCTCATGTACTGAGCAGCTTTTCTGGGATTTTAGACTGTGCTGAAAAACCTTTTTTTCCACACAATTCAGTGTGATCTATCTGGAAGTATCTTGATATTTTCTAGGAACAGAAAGTTGAGGTGTGTGCATTTGGGGATCATTGTTGGCTTGGTTCATTCCTCCATTTAGCTTGCATGAGAAGTGCAGTGTTAAAGCACAAGAGTGAATCCCTTCATGTTTGTTGAAAATACATCATAAACTTATGAGCTATTTGTAAGGAAAAAATTCTCTGTGCTAGAATTCCCTGAAATTGTTTTAAAACTTAATCATAACCTGGAATGTCTTGACTTTTCAACAAAAGAAAAAAATCAAAAACCACAAACAAACAAACAAAAAATTAAAGGCTGTGTTTTAATTATTGTTTGCAATCATCACAAACTTCTAAAGGATATACTTGGATTACTAATTTACTAAAATTGAATACAATCATTTAAAAAAAAAAAGTTATGAAGTGTCTGGCTCAGGTTTCCTGCCAAGAGGGTGACAAGGTGGTAGAAGGCAAAACTGAACCCAAAAAATATATTTCAGTTTTGTTTTGAGAACCAAGTAATTTATCTGCCATGAAAGGGTTTTACTTAGTTTTAATAAAATATTGAAAAAACTGCAGTTTAGATTTTATGCTGGAATAGTCTGTGCTTAACTTAAAGTGAAAAGGTAAATAAGAATTTCTTCTTAAATGCTTGTCACACAGATATCTCACCTAGAATATATGTGCAAGCACAAGACTGAAACTGTGAACAACCTTCAGCAGAACCAGGAGGATGCTTTGGAGAAAATGTCTGAACAGTTAAAAGCACAGGAACACTGGTCGCAGAAAGAAAAGCAATATCTTGAACAGCAGTACTCAAACGCCCTTGCAGAAATTCATGCAAGATCACAGGTATGGTGCTGTGAACTTCTAATTTTTTTTTCTTTAAAAATTGAATTGATTATTTCAATAGTTTAAGCCTCTTAGCAGTTAAAGGTCATTTGGGAATTTTAGTATACGTTTAAAGTTTTAAAAAATCCAAAACCAAACAACAAACCAACCCATCCCTGTGCTAATATTAACACCACTTAAAAAAAGAAATAAATTACTTGGATGAAGCATTTGTTGAAGAGAATTTAGTCTTCAGGCCCAGCTGAGAAGCCTGATTTCATCTGCAGATAGCAGTATTCTTTTTCTGAGAATGTTAAAGCTGTAAGATCAACTTTGCTTGTTTTAAGAATTACTGAGGGCAGCAGCTACTTTTTCAGCATCATCATTTGCAGAGATTGTATAGAATAACAATAATGTGGTATCACCTGGGGATAAATTTAGTTACGTATGTACTGATCCTAAGAGCAGTGGTAGATTTCAATGGTGTTAAGCAATTCTGTTTTTCTGATACTACAGTGAGGAGTGGCCTAAAAGTGTGAAACTGTCACTCCTTGTTAGATGAGTTATTTGCATTCCAAAATGTTCCCTGTTATTCTACAACCACCATTTACTGTCTTTATCATCACACTCCTTCACGCCTGTTTCAATTAAAAGCATAGTGAATAAAGGAAATAGATGTCCCTTGTTATTTGTGAGTTACTGCAACTTACTTTACAGAATAATGCTGTATTTGATGCAGATTTCAGGACTGGAAGTCTCTGCATGCTGAAAAATTCAATCTGTCAGCTTTCATGTTCCAGACTTCCTGATGTTTTTCCTCTCACTTACACTGGCTTTCTGCTCGGTACAGCAGTGTTTTCTCTGAAATTGGAGGATGTTATTAGTATTGTTAAGGCAATTAATAAAACTGAATTGTGGGCAGACAGGTGGTGTTGGACCTTCTGTGAGCTGTCACGGTGTTGGTGGATTGTTTTCAGAAATCAAGAGTCCATTTGCAATTGATTATCATGTAAATTTCCCTCCTACCACTGTTTTTGTTTCATTCATCTTATTCTGTAATTGCTTACTAGAAGAGACACTTTCATCACGATTATTACTAACGACTTTTGCTCCTTTAATGCATCATTTGAATGGCAAAGCGAAATTTTCTTTTCATTCTTGTCTAGGTAAAAACCATGTAGTTAATGTTTCGTCCATTATAGTTTGGTTTGTTTCTGTCACAGGAATGTGAAGAAACGGTGCAGAAAAACAGGCAAAACCTCTATGGCCTTGAACAACTCTCTGACAAACTGGCCCAGGAAAACAATACCTTGAAAAATTCATTATTAGATGCTTTCAAGGCACGCTCATTCCTGCTGGCAGCCTCTGCACTGCTATCAGGGGCCCTGTG